AGAGAGAGAGAGAGAGAGAGAGAGAATTTATTAACAAAAACAGGAACTCTATGTTAAAAATCTGGTATAACTTTATATTGCAGGGTAACTGACTGCGCAACTCCCACGTTAAATAATATATTGTACGGTAGTGTATGGTCTATATCACAGTCAACCCTCACACACCATACCATACATACCAGTGCTTTCTAATCAATTATATGACGTTAAGCTATATTTTTTGTCGAAAACTTATAGACTTGTATTGAGTCCGAGTATTGCGAGCACTGAGAAAAGTCTGACAAAAAATATACTCAGAATTCTTGTGTTACAGAATATTCTGTAAGAATCTCTTATTATATGTATTTATTCTGTGATTATTGTGTTGTATATATTGAATAGCATTTAGTGTGAAATTGATTTAATGTGCCGATTATAATCACCGTGCACAAAAAATGATTGAGCATGGCGTAATATTTGGCAGTAGGCTCTAAATATATAATAATAATTGACAGTTGGCTACACCGATAAGGTATTACTAAAATGTATACATAAAAGATTTTAAGCATGATAAGATTTAGTTTTGAATTGAATAATAAAAGTTCTATTTATAACTATTTTTGACATTTCTATAGAATATTCTTGTCATTCAAGAATAATATTAATTCCTATTTTGTTGAATATAATATAATATACTGTTTGTCTAATTGCCTTAAGTAAGCAAATATTATATAATATATAATAGCATTAAGAATATTCTGTAATAAATATGTTTTTTTTGTATGATTAGCATAATGTGTCGGAAATATACAAAACTAATATATAAACTATGCTTTCATATTACTATTATAGTGCTAAATAACAGTACTGTATATTCATATGAAAGTATAGTTCATATATTAGTTTTGAATATTTATACTAGGTATGTTTTTGTGTTATGCAATTCAAATGTCATTCTATGTATTAGTATACAGAATATTGTCAATACTATGATATCCTAGTAACTTATATAAGTATAATATACTTATTGATGTAGAAATATAAAGTAATATTTTAAGTGTGTTTACGTGGAAAATGTGCATGTATCAGATTTTTATGTCATTCACTATGCCACATAATCTATCTAGTATATTAAAGTTTTTTGTTTTTTGAATAAATATCATGTCAATAGTTTTTGTTTTATTTTTCATTTTGTTTTACACTTATGATTGAAGTATATTTTTAATAAATAATATATCAAACAATATTTTTAATATATAAATATAATAATATTTATAGTACAATTAAATTAAGCTTTTACAAATTATTATTAAAATAATTTCTATTAAGTTTATTTTTAAATATTTACAAATTACCGTTTTACAATTAATATTTCCAAATCATATTTTATATTCATTAAAAATATTTTGATCTAGGTAAAACACCAAAATAAATTAACATAGTGTGTATTGATAAAACAATATCATCATGGACGCGGTAAAGTACATGGACAAACTACTGGACTGGAATGAGCACGATCATAATTTCACCATAAATGACACGCTATACGATCCGAGTGATTGGGAAATTGAATTGCCCTTGCTTGATGCTCTAGAATTTTGGCCCTACCAAGTGATCCTGATCATATTATACTCAACAACCGCATTTGTATCGTTGGCATTTAACCTGGTCACAATTGTGGTACTGAGCAAGGGTGGTCGTATTAGTACGGAAATATGGCAGTACCTGATCAATTTATCCGTGTCCGACATATCCATGTCCATTTTTAGTATACCGTTCACGTATACCGGGTTCATGTTAAATCGCTGGATATTTCCTACCCAATTGTGCCCGGTGGTTAATTTTGCCCAGTTATGCGCCGTGTTTGTCAGCACCTGGACCCTCACGGTTATTGGGATTGATAGGTGAGATGCTAGATAATTATTTTAATATAAGTGATGCCATTTTTATAAAATAAGCATGCTATAATTAAACTACACTGTACAATATATTTATTAGTTTAATAAGACATTTAAAACAATGCTGTCAAATTAATCTTTATGTATGTCTAGACGTTTTTATTATATTACATTTATTATAGTTATAGGAATACAATAAAAGTGGAAATAAAATAAATTTAATGAATGACCCATCAGTTATTATAAATTAATACTAATTTTGTACAAATAGTATCGCTTTTATCACATAATATATTTATCCATTGAAATCATTTTATATAGAAAAAAATATTGACTCATTAATAACGAACATTTTAATAAAATAAATCAAATTCACTTGATGAGATAGTTTGCAAACCAAGATTATTGCTAGTAGATTACTTGTAAACTTTATTAGTACAACTTTTACCATTCATTCAGTACGTACACATAATTGCAAAAAATATTTCCAATAAAATGGGATTCGTAATTATAGTTTAATAAATTCATGTTGACTATATAATTTATTAACAATCATTACTAGCTTGATTATTATAAAATCACGTACTTGAATTTACAATTATGAAATAATAAAATCAATATAATCTGAAACTCTTAGATAAAGTATTTTTAAAAATTTTAATTAAATTCTTAAAATAACAAAACATTGAAACCTTATAAAATTGATATTAAGTTTTTACACTATTTTCTATGAAATTTATTTTGGCTGAAAATTTTTGATTAGAATTTTGTTTACGAGAGAGAGAGAGAGAGAGAGAGAGAGAGAGAGATTAATAGTCTTTCTTAAAAATTTTGAAAAAGATTAAAAGTCTTATATAAACGTAATCTTGTGATGACTTTATACACAATATAATAGTTTTTCTATCCATTAGTACTCCTATTGTATGTCCCTTTTGAAGCAATACTTATGAAAATAATCTCAAAAATTTTTTTAAATATTTTTTCAAACAATTATATTCCCAATATATCAGTTAAGCACAGGCCTTGAAGGGACAGGGAGCCTATTGTATAGTGTATAGGATTGTATAATAATATATTTTGTATGCGAAAAATAATCGAGAGTTTTATTTATGAAAAGTGTTTTTTCAAAAATATAAAAATATATATGTACAAATTTTTACGCAAATATTTGTGAATAACTTTTTGAATGTAAAAAATGATTTTTTATTTATGATTGCGAAATAAATATTTATTGATTTTCATATTTATAAGTAATATATTTTGTACGTGATGTACAACCTTAGTAATATTTTTTGAATGGAAATTTGCATATAAAAACATTTTGATTTGAATATATACATTTATTTATTACAGAGAATCTATTATTAGCTAGTAGATTTATAATAGTAAAAAAATATTCAATTTAGGATTTAATAAAAAATTTTATTAGAAATAAATTGAGTTTTAAAAATGTCTTATAAATTGTGATTTATTATGCATTTTATTCATAATAATAAATATCAATTGATTTTTGACATTAAGTAATGTATTCATGAATGTTACTATTGAATAGCTAATCATATGCTTAAATATTAATTTTGTGCAAACAGGATACATTATAAATAATATAGTATATTGATTATTTTTAAAAGCTTAAAGTTAGCAAACTATTTGATACTACTTATAAATGTTTTGTTTCAAAATATTATCTTCTTTAAAACAAATATACAAATGAATTATTATTTTTAATATTTTAAAATACTATTATATTTTAGTATATCAAATAATTTAAAAATATTTATTTGCCATATTACCACATACATTATTTAAAATATATAATGTATACTATTTAAATATTATATAAGGTAAATCAATACAAACTTTAATATTTATAATATTTAGTAAATATTTCACATTTACAAATATTTATCTACCTTATATAATATTTAGTAAATTATTATAATATTATAAATCTAAAATTATGACACTACAAAAAAATTAATTAAAACTTTATAAACTCCCTAATCCAACCAGCTTATTTAATATTTTATTTGAAATTTTAATATTACTTAAATATTTCAAAATTTATTTTAAATTAATTTTTTGATTATCATTCTTGAATAATTAATTATTATGTAATTTAAATTATAGTAATTTATTTTAAATGAGCGAGCAACGGTTTATTAAATTATCATCAACATAATATTTATCCAAAGAATTTATAATTAATGAGAATAATAAATTAAGCTTACATAATTTAATTTAACCTCTATTACACATACATTTACGGTCTAGCTCATTTAAACACTAAATACATACAGTCAATTAACTTTTGTTTATATGAATATTATACACCAATAAATTTAAATATATATTCAATTATTCAAATTACATCCTGGTTAATCTCATATTTATGTTAATGGGCGCCTGTAGTCAATAGCCGACATTAATCTAATATAATATATAGTTGACATCAAAGGGGAATGGGATGTAAAGGACATGTATTCATGAGAATAATATATGAATATAAGAATATTCTATAGGAATCCCGGAATTCCATGTTATTTGCCCATTAATTCCCAGTCCTATTGTATGGGGAATAATATATCCATTGTATGTATTAATTCAAACATCATATCTAAACTTATTGTATTATTAGTACAATGGAGGCTGTTTATTTGTTTACATGCCTTTCCACTTATACATTTGATATATTGACATGTATGTCCATACTGAAGGGCTATTGGTATTTATATAGCTATCTAATCAATAGCTACGCTACCCACTAAGATTATGTTTGTTTATTATTAGATAGATATGTGCTAGTATTAATTAATATTTCTAATGGTATGTAGGCATTTTTTGTTTATATTTTTAATAAAATATTGTTTATGATTATATTTCACAAATATTTATATAATATATTGCAAAATTTACTCTGATTATAAATGGGTTTGTGATAATAAATGCTAATATTTTAAGTAAATCTAATTAATATAAGCTATAATTAGATTTATCTATTAATCCATAACAAATGTTAGCGATAAAAATACTAATTAAGTATTTTATTTTTACATTACTATCTGTGTTTTTATTAGAAAATATCAACATAATTGAATAAACATATTTTTGTTATACTGATATGTTGAGAAATATTAAGTTGCACTGGGCACGTGTAATATATAATATTATATTATGAGTCAAATTAGTAAAATTCTGTGAAATATGAGAAACAACTATATAATTGTTAAACCTATCCGTGACATGTAATCTAGTAAATAAGTCCAATAATACTTGTTATAATTGGAAACACCGTTTCAAATACAATAGATATTGTATTTGAAGTATTATACTTGTTAAGAGAATAATTGAAATTTTATTTTTTATTTGAACGCATATTGTTCGAAAATGTTTGAAAAACTTTTTTCTATACAATACTTTAATTTGGTTTCCAATGAATTTTGGCTTTCAGACAAAATCAATAGAAACCTATGATCTCTCTCTCTCTCTCTCTCTCTCCCTCTCTCCCTCTCTCTCTCACTCTCGTATTATATGTTTGTTTGAATGAGA